CCGACTTACTTCAAGTGATTGGAATTTCGATCAAACCCTTTATTTCGTCCACGGGGGTAGTGAATAAAAGCGTTGGTTGAAGTAATCCAAGTACTTGAACCAAAGAGTTGTGAGTTCAATACCTGGCTACAGCAGAGATGAACAAAAACTTGGATAGTTGAGTTAAAGGGAAATAACTGATTTTGAGATATCTGGAAGCGGTATGGTACGTGGAACGAGAACAATCTACCCCGGTGGACCTTTATTGATGTTGATTTTCTTGATTGAAAAAAATAGTAGTTTGCAGATGTTCAATGTACTGATTTACTAAGCGTAGCTTAGATGTGGCACAAGGCCGCGAGTATAGGTTACCTAGGGAGGATCGAACTCACTACTCAGCCGTAATTGATCTCGCAAACATATGTTTTTAATCATTTCACACCAGGAAATGCGGTAATGTCGCTAAGACACAGACGCTTATAGTGAATGAAAGAGAATAAGAAGACTTTGGTCGGTAGAAGTGTGGAAAAGGAATAATGGAACAGGTTTCAGGAAGACATATGGCCATTGACGTTTCGTTTAATTTTTGGAAGATTGTAAGTTGCAGAGAAGCAAGAAATCGGAAAGGAGTTCCACAGGCGAAAAGTGCGAAAAAGAAAAAACTATTGGAATAGAATTGAATGATTTTGTAGAGGACCGTTGGGTGATGAGTATGTAGAAGAACACATGTGGGTAGAATTTCCTACTAGCCGGTCCAACTACATGAGAAAGTTGGACTTTAATTAAGTCCAAAGAAAACAAAGAAGACCGATAAATATATGTAAACAAATATATGTATTAACAACAAGTACAAGTTACATGGACAGTTACATTGAGTGCGTGTGGTGAATATTATGTGTGTGTGTTGTGGTGAGTGTTCGTACGTACGTGTATTGTTCTTAGCGTGTTCCCTGAATTTGGGAAACGCTGTATCTGTGAGAGCTCACATCTGCGAGGTGGCATAAGGCTGAAAGCCTGAGGAAAAAAGAGATCGAGGCGAAGGGCCAGCCAGTATTTATAACCAGGGGAGAGAGACCCCTGGTGAAGGGTTAAGGAACTAAAGGAGGAGCTAACTCCGACAATTGCATTTCACTAGGACAGTAAACTAGTAGCACGCTTTTATGAAGTCGATACATTTAGTAGCACCACGTGCGTGCGTGCGATATGAGATAGTATTCAAGTTGCTAATGTCAGGAAATGCTGTGATCCTACCCGACAAATAGGACTTAAAAAGGGTAGACATTTTGCCTTCTCGATAAACAAAGGATTTCACAAACCAAGGGAAAGAACTCTTGCTGCCTTCTAAAATTTTATAGTGGAAGGGAAGCAACTCTTATAAATTAACTAAAACTATTTTATTAAATTTTAATATTAAAATTTATTCTGTGTATTCTTTTGTACCAAATACAAATGTTTTCTTGAATAGTCATGCCGGTGGGAAATTTTCAACTCATGAAATAAGCGTGCCAGTTCAAATGAACATTCTATCGGAATTTTTATATATGTTTAATGAGAAAACAATCTATTTTCTAAATAAATAAACGGCAAATTCTGTCTGTCCATCCGTATGTTGGAAACTCCTCTAACTCGGACCACATATGCTTTACATAGACATGCTATACCTTTTTGAAATCATGATGATCCCAGGATTGAAAATCTGCCGTTCATCTAGTGTTTGAACATCCAGATTGGGATTTATGTTCGGATGAGAAGGGAACAATTAAAAATTCAAATTTTTAAATAAATGAAAAAAATTAGTGATTTTAAAATTTTTTAATTTATTGAATTTAAACTCACACAAAAACTTTATGGATTTAAAAAAAAGATTTTTTTAAATTCAGTTTAAAATATCTCCAAAACTTTGTGAATTGAGGAAATCAATTTTATTTCTTCAAAATGCCAAGGAATCAGAGTTAAAATGACAGGTTTCGTGACGTGAAGTTTTGAGGTTCCTCGGAATTTGTGATTTGAAGAACTCAGTTTTTGGCTTGAATCGGAATTTCAACCCAGATCAGAGTTTCGACTTGAATCAGTCTTTTGGCTGGAATTGGACCTATAGCCCGAATCAGTGTTAAAGTTGTAGGGGAACGTCCTCAATTCAATCCATACATGTTTTTTTTTTATTTTACAAATGTGTCAGCAAACAAAAAGCAAACAAGAGAAGCAACACAAAAACTGTTTTATAATAACAAACAATCTTCAATTTATACAAAGCAATCAAGTGTGTGATTTTTATATAGTAAGAAGAGTTATAATAATACAGCAGGAGTTATTTCCCTTTTAACTTGAAATTCTTAAAGCCTTGTAAGAGGAAATATTTTTATCTGAACTCACAGTAAAAGATTTAAATTCATGAAATAATAATAGTAAGTATCAATGCAAAGAATATTCTTCGATAAAAAGGTGTTGTAGGGTGAAATTCGGTGTAAGATGAGTTCAAAAAAACTTGTTGATTGAGAGAAAATGTAATCTTCATTTGAATATCAAAAAGTTGAATTAACTAGCCACTTAAATTTTTCACCGAAGAGAGATGAATATGAGTGAGAGAATTCTGGAAAGCTGAGAATATGTTGAATCGTAACTTATAACTCCAGAAGATTTTGAAGTAAATAAGTTTCTGTTGCTTGTAATTGATGAGTTAAGAGATGTTCAATGTTCATACATACATCTGTGCGTCTCTGTGTGTGCGTGTGTGTATGTTTCATAGCGTTTGCTCTTAAAAGACAAACGTAATCTCTCTAACAAATGTCACTGGTATTTATAATGTTGTATGTCACGTGATAGGCTTGAAACACATAGACAGATTTTTGGCGGAATTGCATTTTCGTTCAGGTCAGAAACTAATTGAAAACGTGATATTAGTATTGTGGTGGACTTCACCACATTAATCTAACTTTAGATCAGGATACAAAACTGACGTAAAAAAGGATAAGCAAAAGACATCATTACACATAAAATATGTATTTAACAAGATCTACAAGGATGTGAAAGAAGGCATGCATTGAATAGGAAAAAAGGTTAAATAAAACAAGAGTTGTCTCTCTTTAATTATTATTTTGTATTCCAAAGTTCATTGAAAGAAAGTTTGTGATAGTTTCTTGTAATAAATGTTCTCAACAGTTTTGCTGTGGAAGAAAAGATTATGTGAGTGTAAGGAATGTTCAGCATGTGAGTGGTGGTGTGAGTGAGAAGATTGGCACATGGTATCAACTGTCATGGATTCGTTTGGCAGCTGAACTCTCACTAATTATCTAAGAATATTTCTTGCTTATATAGGTGACCATATGCTCCGAATCGCTGCGTGCAGACAAATTGATTGGTTGGCATTGACCAATCAGCAAGCGAGTTTTGGGGAGACTCAAGAAAGCTTCTGGGATCTGTTTCTACCAAAAGGGCACAAAATTGACTACATGAAAATAGAGAGATTACAAAATTGTCACATTGCTGCGATTTGTAAATTGTCTATAACAGTGGTGATTTAACCAATGAATGCTTGTCGTCGTATGTGATTTGTATTTGTGTATGTACATATGTGTATGCAATGTAGATCATCACAGTATTAATTGACCACTCAGAAACCAAAGAAATATCAAGGCTCTGTGATCCACTTTTTGAACAAAATTGAACAAGTTATTTCTAGCTATTTGAAATGATGTAGAATTAAAATTCTACAGTGATGTTTCGAAGTTCCATGGAGTGAATTGAAGAATTTCCTCAAAATTATCATTGCTGTTTTCTAAGCTGAACCAGAAGTCCCTTTTAATTTTGGACCGAAGACCCAATTATCCTTCAGCAGGAGTTAGCTTAAAATGTTGCACAGAGTGCAGCTTTTAAGCTATGACAAATGTAAAAAGGGTTTCAACATATTGGACACTAATTCACGAGTTTGTACCATATTAAATTTATGTCCATAAATAAAAAAAATGGTACCTCTCCAGAAAGTAGTTTTTATTGATTGTTACACTTGGATATTACTCCTGTTGAAGTTTTTTTATACAAAGAGTTATCATTATTGGCTAAAAAAAAAAAAAAACAAAAAAAAACAACACACAATTGCAGAGCAGAAATTTTAAGTTAGTTCTTTGGGAAAGCCTGGATGGAATATTTGACTACAGAAATTTATGGGTTTGACCTATGTATTTAGTTTAACATACCTTATCTGAAAATCATCACCATCATGAATTTTTGGATCATATTTAACTTTTGAGAGGGTTTCATAAAAATACCCACCATTTTTGGAAACTTAAATTTTTATGTTTGATTATTTATTGAAGCAATAGACACAAGCATAATACTGACCTGTTTTTGTGAGGATTTAACATTGGGACAATGACACAGTCCTTCCACCTGAGTTGGGACACTCGTACTACAGTCCCGCCACCTGAGTCAGGACACTCATACATTACCACAATCTAAATTAGGACGTTTATACAATCCCACTACTTGAATCAGAATGCTTACAATTCCACCACCTGAATACAGATATTAGGTCTAAGGTTCCAAAATAGCACTTCACTTTCTTCAGTAATAACAATATTTTGAAAATGTAAATCGTTAATCAATTTAAATATTTTCAATAGTATCAAAATATGAGCCATCAGATATTTATTACTTTGAACTTTTCCTTTCATCCAAATCTGCATGCAACTGGTGTTTTAATGTTTAAAAAATCAGATATTAATTATAAATTTTTTACTTATATCCCATTAATACCAACAGTCCCACTTTAGGTATTTAATGGGTTGAAATAGAAATCATACAAATGTGCTTGTTTCGATTCTTGGCTCCATAGATATTTCGATTGTCACTATTTCATTAAAACCCGATTTTCATTTTTCATAAACCCGATTTCAAAAAATTTTAATGTCAAGAATTATCTCCCTTACATTACGTTTAATTTGTAGACCATGAAAATTGTTGTCCTTTGAGGACAACAGCATACAATTACGAATTGATTTTTAAACATTAACTATTCCCTGACCATACGGCCATATCACGTTGAAACACATGTTTTTGTCCGATCCTCGAAGTTAAGCAACGTTGAGCTTGGTCAGTACCTAGATAGATGACTATTTGGGAATAACAGGGTCTGTAAGCTTGGATGTGTAGTGGAGTGTGATGGACAAAGGTTCAGAATGAATCTGAGAAATCAGAGAGCTGAGTTCATATTCCAGGCAAGTTCATTATTCATCTACGTGCAAATAAAATGTCTCTATTAAATCCTAAAATCTATGCCTTTGAACAAAATACTACTTACTGTTCATTTAGACATTAAAGGGTGTGATTCTGCATATAAAGGGTGGGTGGAAACTCCCTTAACTTTTGTTAATATCACCACATTTGCATGAAAAAAAATATGCTGTGAACGTTAAAGTGGTAGAATTTTATTGTTAATTTCTGTTTTTATTTCAGAGTGACAAGTGTAGCCCAGAATGGCACGATACCTGACACTGCATGAGAATGGTCAGCTGGCATCCCATTACGAAATGTGGCTGTCCATGGTACAAGTGCAGAGATGGTGGCGCAGTTTTCCCGGACCTTGTGCTTCATTAGATGTCAAAACCATTGAAAATTGTCATTGCAAGTTGATAAGTACAGGATTTGTGATAGATACCCACAGAAGTTGTTGCCCTTCAAAATCCATATTGGAAGAAAATATACGAAAAGTAGAATTTCAGGTTCAGAGTTTAAACCAAAGGAGTAGAGCAAGATGCATCTGCGGTTCAGACCAGTGTCACAAGCATAAGACGTGCAGTTTAGACCAGATTCAGAAGTTTAAGACACATGTGCGGTTCAGACCAGAGTCACAAGCATAGATAGTTTCTGTTTACACTAGATTCAAAAAAAGACAGACATATGACCAGTTTATAGAATAGTAAAAAAGATAGATACTGGTCCAGTTTACGTGTGTCAAAAAGATAGACATATCTGGTTTACATAAGCATCAAAAAGGTAGTATTGGTTGGATTTTATACCCAGAGTCTACCAGAAAAATTGGCTCATTTTGGTAGTGTCCTACCTCTTTGTGGTCAACATATTTTAACCCCACTAACAGGGCGATACAAATTTAGATAATTCTAATATTTTGGCGAAATGTGGGCCTTATATGTCAAAAACGGTAAACTTGTAAATGAAACAAACAAAAACAAGATAACTGACAAAACATTTATTGTCTGTAATTCCTTGTCCACAAATGAAAAAAAGTGGATTTAAACCTAATTCACACTGAGCAGAATATTCAGATCTGGCCAATCTAAGCAACTCAAGTGGATAGCAATGGTCAATATTTCCTGCCCAGCCTGAATATTTCAGAAATTGTAGCTAAATTCACATCAACATTAATCTATAATCTCGGTTTTTGGTGTCTTTGAAAAATCTGGCGGTGGCGGCAAGGCATCTGGTAGTTGGTGGGGTGGCAACTCATACTTGGGTCGATCAGTGTGGTGTACACGCACTTTGGAGAAGTAACCAACATATGGACGCTCAATACCAAGTTTTTCTTTGGCACACTCATCAAAAATTGCCTGTTGCTTACGGCACCTGGAAAGGACACAAACTTCAGTTTAAATAAATATCATTTACAAACTCACCATTTATGTAACATGTGCTATCATGAACAGGATTTATTTAGAAAATACTTAAAAATTTAACTCAATTTAATCCTTAAAATTCTGACAGGAAAAGAAAAAAAAAATAAACAGTTGGGTATTTGTACTAAATGCATTTGAATCCAGAGACTGGTGGTGAAATGTCAAGTTTTCTTATGGCTTTCCACTGTCCGCCATGGGCTTGCTTGCAAATAAACATTTACCATTTTTATCATCTCAGAGATTTCAGAAATGGTCTAAATTTTTAATTATTTGTCAAGTTATGATCATTTGAAGTCAACCAAAACTTGTACATGTTTAACTGTTTACGTTTAGAAGATCAGTTCTATATAGTTGCTTTTTATCGGTCTCTTTTTGCAAGGAAAATCATTGCGATCTTGTTGAATGCTGTAAGTGATAAATTTAACTGGAAATTTAAAAAAAAAAAAAAAAAAAAGGACGTATATCAAGTGGATTTGGGAGCACAAAATTCAGTTAAATTAACAGTTTTTTTTTTTTTTTGCTATATTTTGTCTGCGTTTTTGTCTCTGACCCTCCAAATTTAAATAATACAGAGACAAAATGTTTTCTCTATTTAGTTTAAGTTCCCAAATATTAAAACAATTTAAATCTGCAAAATGTAAGAAAAAGGTGTTTGATTCCTTTTCATACATTGATCATTACCCATTTTTGGCATCATATAGCTTTTGACAGAATTTTCCTTGTATTTACCAGAAAATCATGATCTAGAATTGTATTCCTATGCTTTTTAAGGATGCTGAATCCATATCTGGCACTGAAAATCTCCTCACAAAAGAAGTCTAAATGAGATAAATGCAAAATTTAATTGCTTTTAACGAATTTCGGCTCCTCTCTACAGATCATAGTTTCTGGACCTAAACTCCTATTTTTTAATTTCTGTCTGAATCTCTGAGATTAGGAGTTATCATTATTTACATTATTTATATTTGGACTATTGTCCACATCAGTGTTGTTATTATCCCAACATTTTGGCCATTGTGTCCTATATATATATATGGACGCGTGGCCAAGTTGTTAGAATGTTCACTTTCTGACCATGAGACCCACGTTCGAATCTCACCATGGTCAATTTATCAGGAAGAAGACTTCCTGATGTTATCAGAATGAATCAAGGTCGATCCCAGCATGCAGCAGCTTTGGAAAGTGGCTGAAAAACATACCACAGGTTGACCCAAGCCTTGTGAGTGAAATTGGGAGGACAGAATTCTTGAGGGCCGTCAATAGCCGTGCCAGCACAAATCCACAAGACATTGTGGCCGAGGGCTCGAGCTTGTTCAAATTGTTGATCATGCTAGATAACATGCTCTCTCCCAGAAACTGTAACTAAGGTCTGCTCAGCATAGTTGCAATATAAACCCCAGGTGGGCTCTGTGGGTGTTGAGCAAAGGTAAATTTAAAACGTAAGATACACAGAGAGAGAGAGAGAGAGAGAGATGCTGTGTAATTTATTTTAAGTTATAATATAGTAACTTAAAAATAAAATACACATACATATATACTGTATTTATATTCGTTTACAATAATTTTGTAATGTGCTGGATGTTTTTAGGCCAGAAAAATATGTTTCAAATTAACAGACAAACAGCTTTAATGGATGACCCTCCCAACAATTAGTCTGTTAAATTGAGGTTCCACTGTGTATATTCAGATATATTTTCAAATAGAGTGTATCTATAAAAGAACAAAATAAATAAAAAGACAAGAAAACTATTCTTAGCCAACACATTCTGTCCTCAAGGCAATGTAGGAATTATTTTGTTGCACAAGTATTATAGCATACCTACAGACGATAATGGGTATGTCCCCATTCATATAAATACAGTAGTAAATATTGTATGTTTTGGTCAGGCAACAGTTGGAGATTCGTCTTCAGTTGGGCTGGTTAAGTTCTCTGCCTGTGGGCAGAGAGCATCCCCAGACAGGGTTATGCCAAAGGGCAGAGACTCGTCTCGGGGAAACACCTACCCAACCCCATTTTATATGGGGTCTACAGGGAATTTTTGGCTGAGCCTATGGGCTCAGGAACCCCACATTAAATTCAGTGTTTTGCCACATTTGACTGTGTGGGGCAGTTGGCAGATACCATCTGCAGTCTACAGTTGTAGATTTATTGTGGAATTCACTTGACTCACTTCTAGCAGTTGACTACTTCTTCTACACACCACTGATGAAACTTATGTGTTGTTCGTGTCCTAAGTATTATTGTTCATTACCAAGCTTTGTGTAATTATTCTATTCAGTAACCTTCCCTAAGTTACAACGTGTTTATATACAAAAGCAAGGATGTCATTGGTTTATCAAGGATTTTAAATATGACAATGTTCATCAAAGGTTAATCGAAACATGTGAAGGACACAAAATGCTATAGTTCAATGTTTGGTAAGACAAAAGTAAGCAAGCAATATTCAAGAAATTTTTTTTTTTTTAATAAATGAAACCAATTACATCCTTGTTCTCGTATATAAACATATGCAATAAAATAAATCCTACATTTGCCTTGATAGAGTCCCTGAGAGGATGAAACAGGTTGACTAAGAATACTTTTCCTCATCTTTTTAGATAGATAGATAGATAGATAGATAGATAGATTTAAGGTGTGCTATATTTATAGGATAAAGTATAAAGTGCTCAATATCAGAGATAGAGCGTATGTAAATATAAAAGTGGACATTGAAGTCAACACTCAGAGGCATGTGGCCTGACAATTGCATCTAGCATGAAACAGCCTATCACCTTTGAGTGTTGACTTCAATGTCCACTTTTATATATATATATGTGTGTGTATGTGTGTCATCAACAGACAGTTTTGCTGTATCACAGCTCATCAGTGTAGATTGCGATCAGATTGCCTCAAGCTAAGATCGAAACCTGACTGATTTGTCATTATCAACGCCCAGTAGAGAGGAAGGTGGGTTTTTACATACTTATTCTTTGAATAAACATGCCAATGACCAAGCGGGCTCAATACATAGAAGAGCTTTGCAGTATTAGCTGTAGTAGTCATTGTTTACAAATTCATGCTTTCTTTCAATAGTGCTCAACCAGAATTAAATTTCCTGGGGGTGTAAGTTAATCTATATCTATAATTCTCAAAATGTGTGTGTGTGTGATCAGATGTTGTTTATGGATTTCCACAGTTTTCATTCGATTTTGATGAAATTGTTGGCGACAATGGCTCTCCACTACTTCCTGTCCATTATAGCTCTCAGTGATGTTTTACCATTTACTATCTGTTCTTAGATATGTATCTTTCATAAAAATTTAAATAAAAATAAATAGTTTAAATTATTACAATAATATTATTTATTATTATACAGTTCCCTTTTCAGGGCCCCCCCCCCTCAAATTGTTAAGCCCTCGCATTTGGGGATATGCCTCAGTCACACCCAAATGTTGTTACTAATATTAATTTTCGAGTGGGCTGACTTTAAACTTAAACTGTTCCAATTGAACAGCAACAATTCCCAGCAATGAAAGACCCAGACAAAGCTAGTGATTGAATAAGCTTATAACAAGTTCTATGACAATAAAATATCAGTAGAATTTCCCCTAATGCATCGTTAAATATTTGAGCATAACAACTTTAACAAAATATTGCTATAACAATCATAAATATGAATGCTGGTCGTTATTTTAAGAAGTACAGTCATCCCTCCCTCGCTAATTCGCAGTTCTACTATCGCGGATTCACGACTTCGCGGATTTTTAAAATATATATATATATATATATATATATATATATCGCGGAGTTTCTGGAAAATTCTAGAAAAATCACGATATATGAACACCTAAAATTTTTCGTTAAACCCATTAAAATATTAGGAATAAATATTATCCTGGTCTAGGAACAACAAAACAAGCATAAAATAGCAATAGAAAGGGCACCGCCGTCTGAAGAGACGTAAAATACTATTATCAGCTGCACAGTAGAAGTCATCATCAGCTTTATCATCATCATTTCTACTGTGCAGCAAATTCATCATCATCATCATTCAAATTCTATTTCAACTTCTTTCATGTTGAATACAGTAACAATCTTTATTTTTTTTTTTTATTCTAAAGTGTTATTGCTTAACAGTTGTCCTTGTTATTAATAGAGTACTGTAATGAGTGGGTTATTAACAGTACAGGGAGGGTTTTAAAAGTCCAAATACACGTTAAATAAATACTGTCAATATGGCGTCCCTACTTCGCGGAAATTCAGTTATCGTGGCCAGTCTCGGAACCAAACTACCGGGATAAATGAGGGATCACTGTAAGGCAGTACAAATGAATAGATTTGAAATTGACAACTTTTTCCATTTCACCTGAAACATTAATTTCTTCTATCTTCCTTATTTTTTTTTTCATTTTCTCTCTGAAACTGAGCAGCATCTTTGATAGGTCTTTTTCATCTTTTCATGTAATCAAAATGGAAGTATCGATTATTCATGGAGGTATTGACAGGGCATAACGGTCGTGCAAACAGTGGGCAAGTCAAGTAGCAAGCAAAAATAATAAAAATGATAAAAAGTTACACTGGGTATGAAAATTAAAAACATTTCCCTGTAAAATCATTCCAGGTGATTTAACCAAAATGTTCAGCTAAAACTAAGGTTAGGATTTTTATAAAAGCTACAGTAAAATTTCATTTGTATTTTTGCATTTATTCATTTTTAAAACTTTAATATTTCAACTTTTTTTTTCAATTTTGTTACAACCTATACTGTAAGTATTAAAAATAAATTTCAGAATACTGGCTGCAGGGCATGGAGACCGCAATTTAAAGATTGATCAAAGCAAGATATTTGTTTGCTAAACATTTTAATTCTGTTTTTATTATGCTTCTTTATGTGCCATGTCACCTCAGGACATAGGTGATCATGGCTCTCCACAATATCCTCTCTTTTGTAGCTCTTAATAAATTTTGCATTTCAGTTATTTCTCCTAAACTCTGTTCTGCCATCCATTTACACAAGCTTACTAAATATGTTATCGGTTGCTACTAACAACTATAAATGTTCTATATATCTTTATGTAGAGAACAATTACATTATTCATTTTGGGATTCGGGTTCATTGTTCTGACTCTCCCAAACATAATTCTGAGCTGTCATCTTCTTCTTTTATGTGCCGTGCCCCTTCAGGATGTAGGCGATCATGGACCTCCGCAACTTCCTGTTCCATGTAGCTCTTAATAAGTTTTGTCTTTTTGTTATTTCACTTAAACTATGTTCTACCATCCATTTACTAAAGCTCATCAAGTATGCTTTCCTCTGTCCCACTTTCCTACAATCTGTCCTGCGTGTATCAGGTTTTCCAAACCCTCTTTCCTCATTACATGCCCTTGAAATTTCAAATGCCTCTTCTTGATGTTAAATATAAGTTTCCTCCTTTTTTACATTTTCTCCAAAACCTCGTCATTGCTCACATGTTCAGCTCATTTTATCCTCAGCATCTTTCTGTTAAACCATATTTCTTTCGCTTCAAATCTCTTCATCTTTGAGGAGATTGTCTGGCATTCACTGCCATACAGGAGGATATATATTACATAACAGTTCAGTATACTTTTCCTTTTGTTAGTTTCTAACAAAATCTTTCTGTCTCTTAATACTCTGCTTAGCTTTTGGAATGCATCTTTGGCCATCCCATCACGTCTTCGGATCTCAGTGTCACATTTTCTGTCCTCTGTTCGAAACATTTCCTTTCTGTACTTGTTTGATTTTAGTATCCCCGATTTTTAATTTGCATTTTGGGTTCATCTGTTTTTATAATGCTTCTTTATGTGCCATGTTCCCTCAGGATGTAGCTGATCATGGTTCTCCACAATATCCTGTCTTTTGTAACTCTTAATATATTTTGTCTTTCCATTATTTCTCCTAAACTCTGTTCTGCCATCCCTTTACACAAGCTTACTAAGTATGTTATCGGTTGCTACTAACAACTATAAATGGTAACAAAGTTTTGAAAAAAAAATTTGAATTGAATTTCTAGAGAGTTTAAAATATTTTTGGAACAATTAAAGTTGCTTTTTTGGGACAATTCCAGAATGATGATGAAAAAGCTAGTCTTGAGTTCTTGTCACTCATAGGTAGGTAGATATACTTACTTCCTAAAATTCATATCATGTCCAGAATGGTCAATACAATGCCAGTATTGTTGAAATTCTTCAAAACATTTGGCTTTAATCTTTCCAAATATTTCAAATCCACATCGAGTGACTTCTTTGCCTTCATTTAGGCAGCGCCTTGGGTCATTGGTTTCTTCCTTACACAACATAAACTCCTACAAGTTAAACAAATATATAGTCACAAAGAGGCACATTAGACATTCTTAAAAATAAAAACATTAAAAAGTAAACATTTATTTAAAAAAGTTGTTTGCATATTCAAGTTGTAAGTTTGTTTGAAATAATATATATTGCTTGAGTGAGAATTATTGGCAGATTGATATTATGTTAACAAAAAGTTTAACGTTAAGTCTGAAATATGAAATTGTATGACATAGGTTCTGGTGTCAAGTTGAAATTTTTGCACCACTCACTGACAAGGATGAATGATGTAGGATTTTGATCCCAAAACTTTGCATATGAAAAATGTTTAAATCAAAGTAACAATAGTGTGAGCTAGGTATACTTGATAACAAGATACTTTGCATATAAAAAAAAAAAAAAAAAAAAAAATGCAGCAAAATTGTCTTACAGAAAAAATCCTATACAGCAAAAATTCCTGAGGTGAATTTTCCTATGGCAAAAATGTTTACGGTAAAAGTTCCTAGAACTGTAGAACTGATCTCATTTCCAAAAATATTTTAGCTCAATTGTGACACTGAAAAAAGCAGGAAAATTTTCTCTGCAGATGGATGAGTCTATGGATATTGCAGGTAATGCTCAAATGATGGTTTTTGTGAGGTACAGGGACATATGACATTCAAGAAGAATTTCTCTTCTGTAATACTTTGACAACTACTACAACTGGAGAAGATATCTTTAATAAGATAAATGATTTTTAAAGAAACATGATCTGAACTGGTTAAATTGTTTGGCAGTGTGTATTGATGGAGCACCATTAATGATGGGATGTTGTCATGGTTTTGTTACGTTAAAGCAGGAAACCATGACGTCATAACAATTCACTGTTTTTACATTGAGAAAACCTTACCTCTCACCACTTGCAATAAGATCTCCATCGAATTCTAAATGATGCCATCCAAATTGTAAATTTTGTTAAGTCTAGGGCTTTAAACTCATGTATTTTCCATAATATATGTAAAAAAATGGGATCACATCACCAAGACTTGCTGTTCCACTCTGATGTCCATTGGCTATCTTGAGGAAAAATTCTTGCAAGAGTTATTGGACTAAAAACTGAAATTTAAATATTTCTGTGTGAGAAAAAGCATGCACTTTCAGACTGCTTTAAAAATATTGCTTGGCTGGCAAAGCTTGCTTATTTGAGCGACATATCCCTGTACTTGAATGAACTGAATTCAGATATGCAGGGCTGAAATCATACCATGGTAAACCTTGGAGAAAAAATTGTCTCATTCAAGAAAAAAATTTCTCTTTGGAGAGAAAAGTTGGCTAAAGGAAAAACTGCAGCTTTTGCAGAACTAAATTCTATCTTGGAAGGTTCATCAGAAATATCTCTGACATCAAAAATATTATCAAAGATCATTTGAAAAATCTTCAAGAAATGGAGAAGTAATTTCCAGAAAATGTTGACATCAAGAAGCATAGATGGTTCAGAAATTTTTTCAGTGTGAACGTCAGTGAAGTTGGTGAAGATATTCCAGAGTTTCAAGAAGAACTTACAGACCTCCAAAAAAAATCAAGTACAGAAACAACATTTTAAAAATCTTACGTATTCAGAATTTGGGATTCAGCTCAATGAAAAACCAAATCTGATAAGGGAGACTGGAAAAGCTCTTCTCCCTTTTCCAACAACATATCTCTGTGAACAAGGGTTTTCAAGTCTTGTTACGATCAAGACCAGAGCAAGGAACTGCTTGGATCCACAGCATGACTTGTGTTGTGCTCTAACAATCAACATCAAACCTAATTTAGATCTCTCTCACAAAATGAAGCAGTTCTATGGTAGTAACTGAAAAAACATTTTTGATTTTGTGACTTGACTACCAATTCATATAATAGACTTTTTTCTTTTTTTTTTTTTTAATGAAAATTTGCTTTTTTTCCATTTTTTATTAAAAACATTGTGTTAGTAATATGAATTTACTCAATAAAAATATACAGTTGTAAATAAGTCTAATGAATCACAATTAATGTACATGTTGTACATACCGATATGACAAACGTTTTGGCTGCTTTTTATGCCCCCATGAATTAAAATCTCAGATAACACCAAAAATATGAATGAAACTGCAAAAATTGGGGAAAAAACTTCTGATATAAATGTTTGATTATAGAATATCATAAAAAATTTTATATAAGTCCTGAAAAAATTTACTAAAATTGGGTTATTATTTAATTTTGGTGGATTTTTGAAAAATACTGGTGAATCAACTGTAATGAAAATTATTTCCACTGAAAGTTTAAAATTTCAAATTAAAAATTTATTTTTTTTTAACTGTAAAACAATTTTTTACATGAGATTGTTTTTCAATCTTTCCCCTTAATAATATATAAAAAATTATACTTTGCTTTGTTAAATTTTAATTCTTGATTTAAAAAAAAAAAAAAAAAAACAACTAAAAAAATTTGTCATCTAACATACACTTATTCAGGGTCGCCAGACCAGGCAAAAATTGAATTTAGAGTCACATTTAAAAAAAGTTTGGTAATCACTGATATATATATATATATATATATATATATATATATATATATATATATATATATATATGATTCATGTATATTTGCACAGAAACCTTTCTTTTAAACATCTTTTGTTAAATATGATGGACAAGGTAAATTTTATTAATTTTTTTTTTTTTTTTTTTTTTTCCAGAGGTCTTCCATTTGGTGGGAGTGAGGGAGTATAAAATCTGTCCATACCATCCATTGTCCCAAGCACTTTTGGCCACTTCCTTAGCCATTTTGAAAGGGGTTTTGTTTTGGTGACATTAGTGTCTCTTCATGTTTTGACTGTTTGAAATGTATTATTTGTGTGGTTTTCAATACCAGTAGGAACATTTATTCTGAGCCTTCACATGTTGAGCACAGCCGGAATTCACTTGAGCATCTTTCTCATATATATATATATAAAATGGATTAAATCCGATAAATATTTTAATACATTTTGTTTATACATTAATTTTATGGATACAACTTATTTGAGTAAATGCTGTTTTTAATTAAACAGTACTAATTACATTTACTGGCCTGAGTATTCTGAGGTTGCATATTTTCTGCAAAATTTCTCAAATATTCAGGCCAGTAAATGTAATTAATATTGTTTAATTAAAACAGACCATTCACTCAAATAAGTCATATCCATAAAATAATGTATAAACAGTATATATATATATATATATATATATATATATATATATATATATATATATATAGTAGTAGAGCCCGGCGTTGCCCGGGGATGTAACAGTAAGAGATAGATCAAGTATGGACGATCATAAAGACTGAAAAATAAAATTGACAAAGATTATTGTTTAAGGTTGACAGACACGCATGTCTTAATTAGTTTTTTTTTTTTTTTTTTACGAATTGGTCAAACCCAAATTCACACAAAAACACTGTTTACAATCGTTATGAGTTATGGAAATAATACAGTAATTCCATCTACGTTTTACGCGCGAGTTTTCCTTCCTTCCTTCCTTCCACACTTGCGCGCGTCCACTGATTACACCCCTTCCTTTCTCGTTAAGCTAAATAAGTAGTAAACCTTTTCTTTAGTTTTAAATAAGTAAGTTATTGTAGTTTTATCAGCTCCTGTTGATATCTAACAAATTTAAATTACCGTTTTTCCCGCGTTTTTCTCTGACTAATCGTTTGAGTTCAGTCGGGCTAAAAATTTCGATCCATGAAGTTGACTCATTTAACCCTCATCAGTCAACCTTAAATACAGACAGGGATATCTTACTGACAACAAATAATTCTTCATCCCTTTTGGCTCGTCGCAAAAAATTTTCTTCAAGACGATGCAACCAACAACAAATAAGTCTTCGTCCCTTTTGGCTCGTCGTAAATAATTTTTAGCAGCAAATTCAATGCCTGATCCCAAAATCTGAGATGACTGAACTTTCTCACTACCGTGAACCTGAACAAAAAAAATTATAAAAAAAAAAAAACAACACAAAACACTACACACACACTTACAATACCCAAATCCACGGTAAGTACTTTTTTATCTGTGCACATCTACACATCTACACCTCGTGTTAACGAGTTCCCTTTTCCAGAACTTAAAAAAAAAAAAACTTTTCCCCGCCTTGTTCACCTTTTGCTATCCTATTTTGGCGCGAACATTTTCACTGATCTCATAACACGAGATAATCTACTTGTTTTTCCATTTAATAAAAAAAAAAAAAAAAAAACTTTTCCCGCCTTGTTCACCTTGCTATCCTACCAAAAAAAAGTGAAGTTTTGTTGAAATCGGTTGAAAAATGTAGATAGCCTTTCTCTGTAATCTTTTACAATTTATGATTTTTACTTATTGAATACAGTAAAAAAAAATTGCATATTTTGCTTGTGGTGATTCATAATTAGAATTCTGATTTGAATATATTTTCCACTCGTTGTTTCTAATACAAAAAATATTAACTTTATTCGGGTTTATTAATTTATTACAAGTACTGTGTTCTTTCCTTAATAATTATCATCTTCGAAATATTGTTGTTTTTTTGTCTATCAGATTTCTTATGTCGGCATTTTTAAATTATTTCTTAATACTTTCTTTTAAATATTGAATTAATTTCAAATAGAACCAATGCCTTATTGATCTGCCTTGTAACAAATTGCAAAGGGAATTGAAAAAACGGCCCTAAAGTACATTGGAATTATCTTTCCCTATTTTATCAAATCGAAAAAAATGATTGATTATCTGTCCTTTTTTTTGAAAAAAAAACAATATTTTTAACGAAAATTTCAGACGTGCTAAGAACGATTAAAAATGTAAAAAAAAATACCTCCAAAATACTTTTGATCTTTCCTCTTTAATAATAATATGAACATTAGACAATAAAATTTTGTTTTTGTCAAGTTCGGTCCTTTTCATCATGCTATGCTCTTTTGTTTACATTTTCGTGGGTGAGTTGTCCCCTTTCATTCTCAATGTGTGTGTCTTAATCGTGTTTTCAAAATGATTTTCTTAAAAACAACTGTGTTTTTCCCATTTTCGCCCGTTAGAACCACCACAAGGTAATTTTATGTAGTCCTGTGAAGTTTTGTTGAAATTGGCTAAAAATGTAGGAAATTCATCCAACATATAAACGTTACAGACACACACACACACACACACAACCTTTTATTTTATAATAAGATATATATATATATATATATACATATATATATATATATATATATATATTGGGGGGGTTCTTCATTTATTAATCTGGTATATTTTATTTATATAAACGTTATTTTTAGAGGATACCCATATTTCAGTAGATATTCTCTTTATTTATTTATATCTACCAAACTTAATATTTGAGAAATCATGCGCTCTCCAGCAGGTTCTTGTACGATCACTGAAGTTAAGCAACATTGAGCTTGTTCAGGGTCATGTAATGGATAACAGCTCAGATTTGAAAATTTGAGAGCCAAGTTCAACTTGAAGTTAAGTTTGTTATATACACACAAGAAAATCATTATTATCTCTCCCTCTCTCTCTATATATATATGAAAATAATAATAATATAACTCTTGTTTTGCATCAAAACAATGCTGGACATAACTTTGATTTCAATAATGCCATCCTAATAAAAAAAAGAACATAATAATTTAAGGAGAAAATACATTGAAAACCTAATAACATTTTTACCAACACATGCCTAAAACATTGCATTACACTGCCATCCTTCTTTGAATCCATTCTTAAAGAATCTAACTTACATCTAATACAAAGAATACATTCCTAAAGTGGCAAGCCATAAAATTAGAATCCTGCAACTCCCCACTGGAAGGGTTCACCGCGCAAATGATAAGATAAAAAAAACCTACTACACAGACAAATGCACACAATTACAAATACACACTACCATTTGTTGCCCACTTAAATATACAAGAATCTGCACAAACCTACATACACACAGAATTATCCATTGTTTTATTAGACGTGACACATGTCGGATCAATGAGAACTGAGACAAAAACATCATTGAAAATATCAATGTTTTCTGTCTTTTTGTCTGTTTTCTCTCAATCTGTAATGAAGCTTTAAAAAAAAAAAAAAAAAAAAAAAAAAAAAAGTGAAACATGTTGATATAAGTCTTCTATTTATTCTTTAATTTTATCATCCTGTCGAATTCCAATCCATATTTGATCTACATTTTTATCTTTAACTCTTTAAATCTCCTTAACAACCTGCTTTTCGATATTCCTTCTCGCTTAATATTTTTTTAAGTAGTTTTCTCGGTCAGAAAGCATAACTGCCAATGGTCGAACAGATACAACGCTGTGTGATAGAAGCAGAGTTTGTTTATTCGGTTTTATCTAACAAGGAACATGTCAATGACAGCAATCGATGTTGCCATTTATTTAGCAAGAAACAAAGTCCACGACTTTCAAGAGCAGCAATACAAAGTACATTTATCTGCCATGATGAGAGTCATCCCGCACTGAATAGCCGGAAGTGTTATTATGGAAGAATGCATAACAAAAAATAAACAAAACACTAACATTGATACTCGATAAAAAAAAACATAAATATTAATATTGTTACACATAAAACAGCCAAAATCGATTATTATTATTATTTTAGCAGTATCTAAATCTGCTGACTCTCCAAAAATCTATTCCAAACATTTCACACTGCTATTTAGGCTTTTACTTACATGTATTTTGAAATTGATCTTCGAAGCATCCTTAAACCAAATGTCATCATATTCTTGTTACAGTGTCCTACACATTAACATAAATGCTAAAAAATAAACATAATCTTATTACAATACACCCTACTACACTGTCATAATTTACAGACGACACTTAAGTGCATATAAAGTTAAACCATTTTATTAGAAAGTTTGGGTATCATCGATTTTAAAACGATATATGTTCCAAAGCTTGTATTCGCATTCTCTGAATTCAGATAAAATATTACTACATATCCCTCTGTGCTTATTTAAACCAGAGAAAATTAATTAAAAAAGAAAATTCAGGGTGTTTTTAGTTAGTTCATTCAAACATAATTGATTGAATTTGAATGCACCAGTCTATTTTGTAAGTGTCGACTAAATAAACAAAATTAAAACAAAGTACAAGATTGATTCGCATATAGAATTCTCCCGGTGAAGATAATTGCTAACAATTATTTTAATATTTTTAAGTACTTTATTATTCATATTTTTTCCAAGTTTTAAAACAAAATAATCGATTATTGGGCTGGACAGGTAATATTTTTCTAAATAAAAAGAAAATTTTACCCTCTTTCTAAATTCATCCTTATAAGAGCTGCAACTTCTAAAAGAAAAAAGTCAATATACGCTGAAAATTAATTTTTTTTTAACGAAAAGTAGCCGTAATATAGTCGCCCTTCTCTAATAACCTTGGCCAACAACAATGACACGAGTTATCCACTTTTTAAGTTACTCACCTTGCATTGATTGTCGCAGTATTTACCAAAATAATGAGCTCCTGCCCTGAGCACGGATGATGTGAGATCCAATTCGGGGACGGTCAGTTCCTCATAACTAGGCAACCATTCCTCATTTGTGATCGGCATGTTTACTTTCTTGTTTCTACTTCTCTCGTTACGTCTTCGCCTCTTCCGACATTGATAACTTACGAAGCCCCACAAGTCGCCAACAAAAATATGACCGCTTACGTAAACCCAAAAAAATAGAAACTTAAAATTTAAAAAAAAAAAAAAGAAAAGAAACCATCGCTAAAAAAATGATTTAGTTCACAATAAATATTTATTTATTACCCAATGAATTTTTAAGGATATAAATTTACACGGCATTTTTAACTATGATTTATCTCTGTATTTTGTATTTATTTCTGTATTGATCATTTTTTTTAACTCTTCTTCTTGTTGGCTATGAAAATAAAATATGGTTAGTGGTTTTCTTTTTTTTTTTTTTGTACATTGCATTTGATTTCATTTGTCCTTCATTAAAAAATACACAATAATAAAAAAAAAAATGATTTTAAAAATAGTTAATTGATATTGCTCAACATTTTTTTAACTTCATAACGAATTAAAATAAAAAAACAATACCCAGTATTCCACCCACCTACCCAGACACACACACATATATGTCCACCCTGTACAAGACCCAAAAGCCACTCCAGGTAGAGGGTTACAGAGGAAGCAACACAGTTTATGGGAGTATGTGGAGAAGATACTGTAGAATCTAACTTCTACATTTCAGTGGATCATACCTAATTTCCATTCCAGTTATTTAACAACGTCCTGATTGGACTGTTGGGGATGTGCAGAATTAATTAATTGTAATTGAGTGAATCAGAAGGAATTTGTGTAGGTTGCGTGACTTTCTGCATCCACAAACAAATAAATAAACGAATTTTAAATACAATAAAAAACAAGACATTCAATTTAGAAACCAACAAAACATTTATATACAATTAAAAGTAATATATATACAGGATATTTTGGTATATGTTACTATGGCAAAGTGTGTGTGATATTTGAGGTTTCGGTATGTCTCTTTTTGTATTTGTATATTCAGTTACAGTCTTTGTGGAATTGTGTTAATTAATATTAAAAATGTCGATGCTAAGTGTTTTTAGGAATGAGTTCTTATAGAGTGGTCTACCTTTGACTGTAATATTTCTGAATCGTTCAAATGTTGATTTTTACTTAATAATGTAGTGAGTATAGTTCACTTTGGATAAGCAAAGTTCTTTTAGGTTTGTGATTTGATGTCCACAGAGTTGGTCGAGTTTAAATTGCAAGTGAGTCAGCGTTGATGTACTTTTGCGTGGTAAAGTCGTGATTTTGAGTGACATGGAGTATGTTGGCAATTTCTCTGCGGATGTTCGTCTCTGACTCCTTTTGGTCAGTCGGTGTTTTCTTTTATATGTTTTGAAAGTCCAAAATCGGCTCAAAGAAGTTTTGGCACAATTTTGTTTTGCACGTGAAACTTTCAGATTATTGTGTCATTAACCAATGAGATTTGTTGATTCGCCTAGTACAGTTTTTTATTGGTCGAAGTTTTCCATACGTAGGCATAAGGTATAGACTGTTCTGTTACTAGGGGTGATAGGTAGAAAAGGACGAGTCTACAGGACAATAAATACCTTATGTATTTTTCATGTGCAAGTCCTAAAACTTGTGCAACCTAAACACTTTTAAGCTCCAAGCTAGGACAACAATAGACCTTTTCTGATTGGTTTATTAATACCAAGGTCATATTTACACCTATGCACAAATGTTCAAACCAGAGAACTGTAGGGGAGCAGAACATATTTGGTTAATTTCTCTCTCTGGGGATAAAGATGGCACAAGATGTACTTTCCAAATAAGACCTCTTTCTCTATTATTTATTTTATGAAGATCAAAAACTCTTGACGTTAGACAAGAAAGGAGAAATAATGATTCACAAACATATTGTTTCAAACGTAACAATTGAATTTATTAGTGTTTGGTATACATGCATGAATACTGAGTGAAAAGGCTAGACAGAGTTGTGTCTCTTTGATTAGGTAAATAGTTGTACCTGAGTTCATATTATGAGGAAGTAATATTAAACTGTAATAGAATGTAATGAGTTCGTATTGAGTGTTTGAAATTATATGAACAAGTTAGGTAGAGTTCAAAGATAATACTTGCATGAATTTGTTCATTTAACGTCTGACTGAATCAGTCAAGACGAGTTCCTTTAGGCAGGGTCACATTTTGGCAGCGTGTTGAGATGTACGAGTGACGTAGATAAGGTAGGCTCGAGTCAGAAAGAGCAGGAACAGAAAGAGACTACTAGGGAGTTTACACGTGTTCTGTTTATATATCTGCCTTTATCACATGGTAGGATCAAATGGAAAACGCGGTAAAACAGATTTGTTGCGTGCAGGCAGTTTGATTGGTTGGAACTGACCAATCAGCAAGCTAGATTGAAGGTGATTGACCAATGGTTTCTTGTTGATATTTTGTATGAAAGTAGGATGTTATTTACCAGATAGGAAGAGTGCATGTCCTAAAAAGAGGAAAGGCTGGTTTGTTGTGGAAGATTCCACAGAACCACCAAAATTATGAAAATATAGTGATCATTATCGCCATCACACACACATACATACATACAGATCATACAGCAAGCATTCATTGGCTAATCTCCTCAAAACGAGCTTGCTGATTGGTCAATTCCGACCAATCAAATTGCCTGCACACAAGGAATAATTTTCCCGCGCCCAAGTGTTGTAGCCTGTCACGTGAGACACAACCTTATATAAACAAAACAAGAATAAGGCTCTCTCATTCTCTTCATTCATCTTTTTCCTTGCTGCTAAGATGCAGTCTTCAAGAGCTCCTGTCTTAACCATGCAGTCAGACATTAAAGAACATTGCCAACAACTCTTATCAACTTTTTCACAAGTCACCAATAGAGTCCAGCTAATTTTGCCTGTCAACACAAACCTATGACTTTACTCACAACATTTTAAATGCACACACAGACACAGAATTTTGTAATACATATATACATATCTCTCTGTGACTCAACCAAGTTCAATCAACCAGGACTCTGTTAATTTTCTCTAACACAACACACTTTCTATTCAATTGTATTCTTGTGTTATCTATTCTAACAAACAGTCCTTTGTCCTAATATTGATTCCTGAATATTTTTCTCTCATGAGAACTTTCTTTCAGACAATCAAATACAAATCAAAATATGGTAAAAGGGAAGCAACTTCTTTCCCTTAATCTATACATTGCACACAATATTATTGTATATTTCATTCATGTATATTGTTTTCAATATATACTTGTTGATTCACATTTGGAGTTTTGCTGTTGTCTTGAATCATTTATTATACAAAAAGTTATACACAGGCCAAAGTACATGCATCCACATAACAAAAACATGTTCTTGAGCCTATCACGTGATCAACAAGTAAATAAATATGATACACTAGCACATCTTCCAGTGAGCAACATGACAGCAAGTTTTTCTCAATTTATACTGGAAATTTATATTTTACAAATGCTATTTAATTATCTCATAAACAGAATTATTCTTTCACTGACTCTGTGAATCTTATATCACTACAATTACAATAAATATTTCTTCAAGTCAGCTCACACATCACATTTCCAAACACCAAAATAAGAGTTTACACACATAATTAAAATAACAAGCATCAAAACATTTCACTCACAAATCTTTACTCATTATAGCATAATGCATCATATCTTTTATGCTATATAAATCAAATATTGTTTGTTATTCAAAAACTGTTTTTTGTATTATTTCTCATTCATATTTATTGTTTTGTGTTTGTTCAAAAAAAAATTTAAATGTGAGGATAGTTAAGTTTAACACACAGCCTAATTCAATCCATAACTGATGACCAATGTTAATTAAATACACCCACCTACCCAACAAAATTATCCCTAATTTAACAAAGTAAACTTTAAATCATAATATTTTTGCAAACATCACAACTCCCAAGCAGCAGCAGCCCATAGAAACAAGCAAACACTAATGCAGACTACCTACACACAAACAACAGTTTGCCCATGCACAGGAAGTTCTAGTCTAGACAGCCAGTCAGCTATAAAAACAAACCACATGTTGTCTGGACAGCAGTCCTGACAGCATTCCTAATAGCAGTTTCAAACCAGCCAGTCAGATTTTACCCACATGTTGCACAATAAATTGAACAATAGCTGCACAATGAATTGAACAACTGCACAATGAACTGAACAACAATTGCTCCATGAGTTTATAGGAGTATTATAACTAAGTAAATGGTTACAAACCCCCTAACATTTATATAGACAAAAATACTCATATAAATGACTAAGAACTAGACATGGAAACAAAAAAATAAGGATTACTTATTATCTGGTTGTGATGTGGTGTTGAAAAAACAATAGACAATAATACTGATTAAAATTTTGATTTGGGGGTCAAATGTAGATCAAATATAGATCGGAATTCAACAGATGGATAAGATAAAGAATAAGTAAAGTGTATACAGTCTTTCTCATATGTTTTTTATAGATGTGTGTAATGAGTATCCAGATAATTTAGTCAGAAATACAAGAAGTCTCTGGGGTTTTCTTACCTCACATTTTTGTTGAGCGCTAAGAGAAAATGTTACTATTATGGCCTGAAAAAAAAAGGAGCCAAAATTTTTGTTGACACACATGTTAACAGTGTCTGTGTTGACTGCCTGTCCGATAGTGAGAATGTCCCATGTTTTGTGTGTAGATAAGAAAAGTGAGGTCGATTCTCATTGGTTTATAAAGATTGAATTAATGATAATTATAATAATTATAATTATTTTATTATAAATTTTTTTTGGCACTATAATTAATTTTTATTTATTTATTTTTTATGGCCATAACAAAGCACCCCCAACCTCCAGATCATTAGAAATTTATTTCTAGTGATATGTAAAAATAATGCTTTAATATCTAAAGCATGTTTTGTAATGTTGTGACCAATGTACTTGTCTTCCAAACCTTGTTGTAATTATTCTTATTTGTTATTGCTTCTGATGGAGTGTCACCAGCTTTACTGGATGTTTGTCCATCCA